ATTACTAAACCGTTGAGAGTTACTAAAGCTTTAAGTACTAGCTTTAAGTATCAGATCATAAACCATTTAAAAAATGTGTTTTTATTTGCAAGGTATTCGGGGTAAAACAGTAGAATACGGCACGCTATTGACTAATAAAAAATGTGTTTTTATTAAAGTATTTGCATGGAATTTGGGGTAAAACAGTAGAAAAGGTGTCATAAAATTAGGGTACATTTTGATGTTCTCCTACTAATTTTAAAGAAATAAAGGCACATTTTAGATGAACTGATATCTAACATAAAATTAACAAATCATGAAAGCAGCTAATTTTAGTTTTTAATAATAAATGGTGGGTGGATATTGCTACAGTTTTACAATTATCAATGTAATTTTCTCATTTCATTTTTTTTTTCCCACTATTGCCTTGTTGACTATAAGGGGTTTGGGGTTGAAAGAAACTCCAAATTCTCACCATGGCTGCTCGTATTTGATTTTAAAAATACAGTAAAAATAGTAATACTGTGAAATATTATTACAATATATTACAATTAAAAATAACTATATTTAAAACATTTTTATATATATAATTTATTCATGTGATGGCAAAGCTGAAATTTCAGCAGACATTCTTTTTCAGTGTCACATGATCCTTCAGAAATCATTCTAATATGCTGATTTGCTGCTCAAACATTGCAGTTGTACTGCAACAGTTGCACTGCTTAATATTTTTGTGAAAACCATGACACTTCTTTAATGAGTAGAAATGCCAAAAGAATAAAATAAAATGTGTCCTTGCTGGATATAAGTAATAATTTCTTTTAAAAAAAAAAAATTACTAACCTCAAGCTTTTGAACTGAAGTGTACGGAACATACAAATTTCCCACTAACTACAAACCAACATTTAGTCCCAAACTAGCTAGCACAGAATTATTAAATACCATTATTTAGCAAGTAACACGGCTACAAAAATGCAAACCTTATGTAAAATGAAGATAATATACATTTGATCATTAAATTTAAGATACTTTCTTCTGATCTGAATGAACACCATTTTCTTTAGGAAGGTTAAGCACCTTCATTCACTGACCATTTGTTTAAAAAGAAAAGAAAACCAATTTGTGTTCTTTTTCAGCAAATTTAAGCTCTATTTGTGAAAGTGGAAATATAGATCAACCGCACAAACAGACTCATGAAACTTATCTCACACCTGTGACACGTTACTGTCCTGCTCATAAGACTCCATCATCAGCCGAGCTTCTTTTTCAGTTCTGTCCATCAGTTTGTCTCGACCTCTTCTGGACGTGTTATAAATTGCAGGGCGACCGAGTGAGTCCACCCCTCCCAGCGTGGACCGACTATCCCTGGAGCGAGGACGATCCTGTGAAAGTAAACGTTTTGGGTTTTTATGTATGTGCCAGAGAGGAAAACAAAATTCAATTGTGATATGTTCTGCCTATCATATCGAACAATTACAAAATGTGACTGCTATATATAGTGTTTTTTGAAATGATGCATGAAAAGAGTGACAAACCAGTGAAGAGAAACTTGTGCGTATCGTCCCTTCAACTCTTAAAGGATTATTGTCATCCTTTTAAAAGAAGACAGAGACAGTGGAATGAGAGGGAGGAAGATATAATATACTGCAATATACATACAGCAATTGTATAGATTCATGCTGTTGCCCGAAAAGGAAATTAGATACTTAAAGGGATAGTTCACCCAAAAATGAAAATTTGATGTTTATCTGCTTACCCACAGGGCATCCAAGATGTAGGTGTCTTTGTTTCTTCAGTAGAACACAAACGAAGATTTTTAACTCAAACCGTTGCAGTCTGTCAGTCTTATGATGGAAGTGAATGGGTATCACGGCTTTGGGAGTCAAAAAAACGTACACAAACAAAACCAAATTAAACCCTGCGGCTCATGACGATACATTGATGTGTAAAGACACGAAACGATCGGTCTGTACAAGAAACTGAACAGTATTTATATAGTTTTTTACCTCTGATTCACCGCAATGTCCGAACCGTCCTGAGCGCGTTCTCAGACACGTCTTCTTCTTCTTCTTGCTTTACGCCGGATCGCAGACTTATAAGTGCATTACCACCACCTATCTCTCAAATGGACTAGTCTGCGACCTGCCGTAAAGCAAGAAGAAGAAGAAGACGCGAACGCACTCAGGACAGTTCGGACATTGCAGTAAATCAGAGGTAAAAAACGATATAAATACTGTTCAGTTTCTTGCGTTCTTTTTTGGGTGAACTATCCATTTAAGCCATATGTTAAAAAAAAAAAAATTATGAATGTCAATTACCAAGATACAAGGTACAAGCAGTAAATAAAAAAAAGTAAATAAAATAATAAAACACTAAAATTGTCAAATAAAACATTTAATAAAAGGAAGATTATAACGTTTGAAATGATAAAACAGTATATATTCAGTATATACTCATACATATCATTCACTACCATACCATTTGGCGTCAGTAAGATTTTTTGTTTTTAAGTAATACTTTTATTCAGACCGTAAAGACATTTATAATGTTACAAGAAAATTCTATATCAAATAAATGCTGTTCTTTTGAATTTTATATTCATCAAAGAATCCTGAAAAAAGTATCACAGTTTCCACAAAAATATTAAGCAGCAAATCTATTTTCAACATTGATTAGAATGAGAAATGTTTCTTGAGCAGCAAATCAGCATATCGGAATGATTTCTAAAGGATCATGTGACACTGAAGACTGGAGTAATGATGCTGGAAATTCCGCTTTGCCATCAAGGAATAAATTACATTTTAAAATATATTAAAATAAAAAACACTTATATTAAACTTCCAAAATATTTCCCAATATTACTGTTTTTACTGCATTTTTGATCAAATAAATACAGCCTTGGTGTTAAGACAGATGTCTTTAAAACACATTTAAAAAATCCTACTGACCCCAAACCTTGCATTATCAATAAACATTTTTTATGTGTATTTTTACCGAGTATCTGTTGTCTGTGCTTCCTGAGTTGACTCTCCTAATTGAGGCTTGTCTTGATAGAGTGCTGATTTCCTCCCTTACAAAGAGGGCGACACAGACACAGACTGAAGTACAGGTGTGCAGTACACAAATTCTCAAAATCAGACCAGTCATGTAAATTATTCTATGTTCAGAAAGAAAGACAAATTTTCTTACTTTTTTGCAACCAGCTCTATAGCCAGTTGTTGATTTTTGCGCTTATAGTAGCGGTTTACTGAAATTATCACTATGATAAGAGCGAGAACAATCACTGCAGCAACACCAGCAATAATAATCATCATCAAGTAGTTCACTGATGCGTTTCTCGGAGACGACTCTGAAAGAAACATGCAACAAAGCATTCAATTACAATTGTATTCAATTACAAGAGTCCTGTCGTCATTTGTGTGAATGAGTCAGACTTCTTTATGGTGCTTTTGTTCTTTTAGAGAATGACTTTATGGAAAAGGTTGTACATTCTGTCTAACATCTCCTTTTACATTCCACAGATAGAAAAAAATATCATGCAGGTTTGGAACGACATGAGGGTGAGTAAATGGTGACAGAATCTTCATTTTTGGATGAATTATTCTTTCAATTTGATGGATTATGAGATATGCAGTTGCATATTATTTTCACTAGATGACAGCACTGTATACTGCACTTTAACATGAGTGAAGGGTTTCCAGTGGGATACACACCTGATATATTTATTCGAATCTCAGCTTTTCCAGATCCCACCTCATTGGTGGTGGTGCAGACATAAACGCCTTGATCTGTCAAGCTCAGGGGCCTGGAAAAGCGCAGCGTGCCTCCTTCCACAGTCACACCCTCTGGTAGAGCTTCATCTTTCCTGTGTGAAAAACAAAATATGATTTAATCCCTCAATCAAAAACAGAACATTGTAAACAACAGAATCTGTAGTCTAGGATTCTTCACATAACCAATGATTTATGCTTAATTATTTACAGACTATTGACTTGTCCTTGATACCAGAACATGGTCCTTCAGAAATCATTCTAATATGTGACCCTGGAGCACAAAACCAGTCTTAAATCACTGGGGTATATTGCCATACATCAATGAAAAAGCTTATTTATTCAGCTTTCAGATGATGTATAAATCTCAATTTCGAAAAATCGACCCTTATGACTGGTTTTGTGGTCCACATATGATCCTTCTATCATTCCAATATGCTGGTTCGCTGCTCAAAAAAACATTTCTTATTATTATCAATGTTGAAAACAGTTGTGCTGCTTAATATTTTTGTGGAAGCCATGACGCATTTTTTCAGGGTACTTTGAATTGAAATGTCAAAAGAACAGCATTTATTCGAAACAGAAATATTTCAGAACATTACAAATGTCTTTACTGTCACTTTTAGTCAATAAAATGTGTCCTTGCTGAATAAAAATATTCATTTTTCAACTGACCCCAAACTTTCTAAGTGTACTGTGAAAACAACTGAATCTATACTGAAGGAATCTATGCATAAAAATTTATTTTTGACTAATTATTTCACGAATACCAACTTAAAATATCCCTGGTCTGTATTACTTTCAGTTCATCAGTGATTTTATCACAAAACATTTTTTTGTCCATAATACAGTCAGAATAGTATCGTTTAAAAAAAAAAAAAAAACATTTCGTACAGTGCTTTAAAGAAGTAGTTCTCAATTGGTTTTGCATCAAGATCCAGTTTTTTTAACATCAAGTGACAGCACAACAAAAACTCAGAATTTAATGTAGTCTAGGTAGGTGCTTTGTTTTGTTTAACTTGCATCGTGCTATAAAGATAACGATAAAGATATAGTTCTAAAAATCGTTCTCAATATTAAAGAATAGTAGAGTCCACACCACAATTATAACGATAAAGACAAAGAGAAACGATATCATTGGAATATCACTTTCAAAACGATTTTTCTCCAGCTGATGAACGATAAAAAATTGACAGCCAATCAGAATCCATCCTGCTGTAACACGCTCGAGAATTTAAAGAGGCAGACGCATGTGCGCTTAGAATAAACAGACGATATCGTTCGCTGGTGTGGACGCTAATATCGTTATCTTTATAGTTATCGTTCTTGGTGTGAACGGGGCTGCCAAGTGCATTTCTCCCCCTTTTTAAAAGCTGATAAGCCTATTTATTTAGCTAAAACCACAAATAGGCCCACTCAGTGTTTCCGTAGACAATAAGAACTTTGTCCACAGCTTATACCAGGAACTATAAGTTACATGTTTTTCATACAGCACGGCGCAATTTGCATGAGGACAGTGGTAAGACTCATCCGATGACACACATAAGCGCGCAGGCGAATTCTCCTGACACCATCATCATAAACCTACTCATCTCCCCTCACCAGCCATTTCTCATCCCCCACTCTCTCCCTCCGTGTGAAAAGGCACTCTGTCTGTTTGCTGCGCAAGTTGCAACATGACACCAGGCCACAGTTACTTCATTTACTTTGCATTCACACCGAGCAGCCAGAGAACAGGTTTCCCCACTCGAGGCAGAGAGGAGGAGAAAACCAGAGAATGTTTGTCTCGGGAATTGCGTGATCATCTAAATGTCCATGTCTACACACCCACTTAGTCACTCGTACTGAAAAATGCCGAAAAATAGGTGTGTGACTGTGACTAATTATTGTTCACAAATGCAAAAACAACTGTCGTGTATTTCAATGACCTCTCAGTGTCAGTATTACTTCTATCTGATAGAGTAGATAAAAAATTCACTCATGAATTTAGGCCACAACCTTCTCGTCCACACCTAGAGATTACTCTGGCATGCTGATAGAGAAGCCAACCGAAACAGAATGAAACTGACAAGACAGGCTTACAGGAAGATGAACAAACAAACAAATCGAGAGATGCAGGTAGACAGAGTTTTACCTCATCCAGTTGAATCTCTGAGGTTCTGGATTTCCTTGACCACTGCACTGCAGCGTGGCTTCTTGCATTTCAGCATACCAGTTGTCCTCATAGCCAGATATCAATGCATTCGGAGGGTCTGTATGTACACAAGAACACACAAATGAAAAGATTTTACAATTAGGCACGTCTAATTCACTTTTCAGCCTCTTGTTTGAACTTGTGATGAACTTCCCGTTTGACCAATAAGTTCACCTGATCCTTTTGTTGACACAGTACAAACTCTAATATTGGCATTATGAGACATGCATATGTTTGAATTAATAAAATGTTGTGCAACTGAATTAAACCCATATGACTTTCTTTCCCCTGTGCAACACAAAAGCAGACACATTGAAATGATGTACTGGTTGTTTTTTTTCAGTGCAGTCATATAGAATGAGGACTGGGGCTTTCAAGCTTTAAAAATGATGCAAAACCACCATAAAATACTATAAAATGGTGCATATATAAATTGAACTGTTGCAGATCATTGAGACCAGATCTGTCTGATTTGTGAATGAATCATTCAGATTAATTCTGTGAACCGAATGAATGGATTCATTGAAAAGTTCAGACTCAAAAGCACATTCTCAGACATTGTTAACTCTTTCTTTATTATAGATGAAAGATTTAAGGCTATTCTTTACACAAAACTATATGGTTTCAGACTTTCAACTATTTGGTTTATGGTGTTTTTGCATCCCGTTTGATATTCGAAAGCTCCAGTTCTTATTCATTGTAACCGAATTGGGGAAAAACAACAAGAAGAACAACCAGGATATTCTTGAGATTTTTTCCATTTGAGTTCCACAGAAGTAGCCACGTCAAATGGGTTTCTAAACACACGAAGGTGACTAAATAATGCCTGAATTTTCATTCGGAGAGAACTATTGCTTTAAATTTTCCTACAATCAACCAAAGCAAAGACATTATGACCGCAGCAGTAGTGATGAATCAGAGAGAAACAATGTAGTCATAGTATCGATTAAGACAATAAACAGATGTCCACATGTCATAACACATCTGAGGGAAGTTACATACAGTCTGTAGGAGAAACAACAGTTTAATCATATTCAAATTTCGCAAGCAGAGTAAACAGGAAAGGTGTTTTACATTTACATTATAAAATTCACAATTGTTTTCATGATTTCTAGATTTGAAATTCACAATCATTCTGAGACAAATCCAGGCAGTGACGTATAAAACTTGTGGCGCAATAGTACATCAATCATACTGCAGTAAGGACAACATTAAAAATTCTTCTGAAGAGAAAGCACATTGACAGCTTGTGTTTATAACCTGGCAAGTGGTTTGACATCAAGAGATATCAAAATAATTCTTAAGAAGTGGCAAAATGAATTATAGATTAACTATAGCACTAATGATTCTTTGCCCAATAAAAAGTACTCGCGGAAACTTGCAAAAAAAAAATTTGATAAACAATTTAAGAAATGTCTGTAACACTACATTCTAAAAAATGCTTGGTTATTTTTTCTACCCAACCACAAGGTTGAGCCTGTTGGGTAGTTTTTTCCCCAGTGTAGGGTAGTTTTTGTGTTACCCAGACATTGAGTTAGTGGCTGGGACAATCTCACTGACAGCTGAAAATATACACCCCTCCCCCTCCTTCCAATGAAACAACCAGAGTTGTTTGTATCGTCTTTAGGAAAAAGCGGTTCTCAGTGCCGCCTAATTGGTGCACTTCTTCAGTCAAATAAAGGTGTGTATATGTTTTATTTCATCTATGAAGTCTTTACTGCGCCGTAAATTATTTTACGAGATTATAACAAACTGATTTTATTCATTATAATACTGAATTTAATTAATTTTGATGTTAAGATATGTTCTCCAATCTCAGTACTGTTTGTTTATGGGCAGGTTATGGAATCAGTCACAACATCTTTCAGCTACAAGTGAAACACGAGGCAGCAGTCTGAGGTTACTTTTAAATGTTGCATTTTTGTCAATTTGTCTTATAATTTTGTCCATGGGTGTTCTTGCTTATTAATAAATGTTCACCTTTTGATTATTACTGTTGTCTCTAGTAATTCTGGGTGTGATTTCTAATTTCCAACCCAGTAATTTGTAACAATAGATGAGTTAAATAAAACAACCCAGCATTTGGGTCAAACATTTAACCCAACCCGATATAATAACCCAGCACGTGTTCTGTCCAATAATTGGGTGGCCAAATAACCCAGAAATGGTTGTTTTTAACCCAGCATTTTTTTTAAAATAATGTACGAAATAAGAAAATATATTTTGAATAAGTGATAAATGATAATTAAGCACATAATTAAGGATATAATTCCTCCTCCCCCCCAGTTTTTAGTAGTGAAAAGATAATTATAAAACACTATAATTGATTACTTTTTATTATATATTATTAAAGACATTGCATTTTTAAAGTACTTTTATAAGTATAAATGAAAGTATTCATTGTACTGAATTCAATTAATGCTAATTTGAACAGGATGATTTTTATTAGTGTTACATTTTTTCTTTATAGTAATAAGAATTCAAGGGGAAAGGAATGTCACATATTATGACCCAGACACTTCTGATATATATTTATAATAAGTGTTAAGAGATCAGGACTCACAGTGTACTACAAGGTTATTGGAGAACCTCACTGGGCCTTTTTGCGATGGATGCCAGGCCAGACAGTCCAGCTTCTGCCCGTTCATGTTACGGAGAGGGTGGAGAGAAAACTGGATGGAGGCCACCTCACCATCTGAGCTACGGTTCTGACTCTGACCCGCGAGCTCCGTGTCCCAGGAGAGGCCTGCCATCGGCTTAGCCACCGAACGGCATATAGCGGCCGGACGGAATGACTGGCCCTCAACCAGGACGAACGGCTGCAGGGACGTAATGGGTTTAGCTGTGAAATGAAATGACAAATACATAATAAACATGATAAATAGGATTTAAACTTTACAATGAAGTACTGACAGTATTTTAAAACAAACTTTTAGATATTTTACCAGTGTCTAATTTATGAAATGTTCTAAAGTGAGACTTCCCAGTTTGCTTTCCTGTTTCTAACAGTCTGCTTGAAAACAACCGTAAACAATACTTCTGAAGGAGAAAGCAGCAGCTATTATATGATCTTGTAATCGCAGCAACAATGAACACTGTCAGGTAAATACGTCCATTATCACTCCCATTGACGCAGACAATGCTTGTGTGTTATTCTGGGAACAATAACTGTATGCATCATAGCAGTGGTAGCTTTGTGGTTAACGGGTTTTCTCTGTACATGAATGGGACGCTGAATGAAACGACAATGGTAATGTTAAAAAAATCAAAGGCTTACGTTATCCTTGTCCTGTATCACTGAGGGTTTTATCGCTAACTGCTGCAGAGTCATATACATAAGACTCAAAAAAACTCTGCTGATTTTAACTCCAATCACTACAAAGCCCCTAAGGGGACATGGTGATGGAAAAAAATATGATATTGAAGGAAAAATTACATTTTGCATTTTATTGCTTTTGCATTGTCTCGTAAAATATTTTTCATTCACTCGCAAAATTCGCAAAAAATGGGAGAGAGAAAGTAATTTTTAAGAAACTTTTTTTTTTGCATCGCAGCATTTCCACAAGAAACTTCTCATTCGCTTGCAAAAGCACTGAAATAATACTTTCATGACAAAAGTTTTGTGAGCGAACGCAAAGTTTCTTTAGATTTAAGAGACTGGTGGTTTCACAGCAGTCTGTGGGCAGGTTTTAGCCAGACAACCTTTTCCTGTTTAAGTTGGCAGTTCTTGACCAAAATCAGATACAATCCCGACCAGAGTGTATGCTGAAAATCAAAAGTGGTTTATGCTGATCTTCCAATGTGCTAAAATATAAAATATGAACAGTCACAGAGTTTTGTATGACAAAAGTTTGCCGTCTTCTGTTTGCCCATGTAGCCACGATTAATGTACTCACTCCACACTGTGACCAAAATCTCTCTCTCAAAGTTTCCAGCGGGGAAGGTGGCGATTTTGCAGATGTATTTGCCCTCATCTGCAGAACGTGTGCCCATGAGAATCAGAGCAGCGTCTGCTATTGGGTCGTTGGTTGCGAATCGAGCACGCCCTGTGTATGCAGGGCTTTCTGCGAGAGAGAGAAACAGAATGAAATGTGACATGTGACAGTAAGATCTGGTTTCTGACCATTTTTGTGAAGCATACAAAAAAGGAATGATGCAAACAACAAAACTTATCATCTCAAAAGAAATGAAAATGAAGAGGAAATATTAAAGATTCTGCAGTAATGGCTCCTTTATGAAAAGTTATTTTTACAAAAGAGAACTGAAAAATAAACATCTGCTTAATGATTCAGTGTAAAATGAATGCAAAATGAGTACAGAACCGAAAGCACAAGTACAATACAATTATAGTTACAGAACCAGATTCAAGGAACAGCCAAAAATCAGATTAAACCCCGCAGAACTGGTGTCATTTTTTAAATGACTCAGAGCTGCCTATAGAGGATATTGTTATAGCTAGAGAAGTCCACAGTGAAAACATTGGTATAGGATTTAGTTCGAAACTATTCGCACTCAGCAATTGTGATTCAACTTCAAAATAATTACAAAGAAATTTAAAAAATAAATTTTCTTTGGTGATAATATTAGTAAAATGAAAGGATATAATAATTACATTCTAAAAAATGTGTAACAGTTTAAGTTTTGATATCTGTGAAGTAACAGACAAAGAAAAAAGTTAGTTTTACCTGTCTGGCCTTCACTGAAATGAGCAGTGATAATCTGTTCTTCACCTCCATTTGAGTTTTCTCGAATCCACATCACCTGCACCACCTTAATCTCACGGTTCGATACATTGAATCGACAGGGTAAACGCGTTTCCTCCTCAGCCAAAGACTGCAGAGTCCAGGGGGACTCAGAGGGCTCTAGAAAATGTTCTTGTTCTCCACTTACACAGGCTGCTGAAAGACACAAAAAGAGAGATAATGGTTTTAATCAAATAAAGTCATAAGCCACTCGAGATGCTTTTTTAAGCAGCAATATGATAACAAATAAATTATATTGGATGAACTCTGTTGGAAGTTGTTTATAAAATCAGAAATCACATGTATTAATGTTGCAACTATAAAAAGAATTGGTGGATGAGTAGTTATACTATGTAATATTTTATATTATGTATCATACTATATATGTAATTATTTCTTAAGTATTAGCTCAGTTTCCTTTATTACGTGTTATTAAAGGAATAGTTCACCCAAAAATAAACATTTGCTGACAATTTAGTCAACCATGGGCAATCCAAGATGTAGATGAGTTTGTTTCGTCATCGGAACAGGTTTGGAGAAATTCAGCTGTACATCACTTGCTCACCAATGGATTCTCTGCAGTGAATGGGTGCCGCCAGAATGAGAGTACAAACAGCTGATATATAATCCACAAGTAATCCACACGACTACAGTCCATCAATTAATGTCTTGTGAAGTTGAAAAGCTGCGTGTTTCATCAAAATTCATCATTACAATGTTTGAACATCAAACCGTTGCTTTCGGCTAAAATATGATTCCTCTATCCATAATATTACTTTCCTCAATGAAGTCATCTCATCTGAATCAGAAGTGAAATATGCACAGATCAAGATCTGTTTACAAGCAAAAAGATTCTGAAACAGTTCTAAACTAATGTTGGTGTTCTAAAACAAAAATGTTGGTGGATTTTGATGAGGGGATTGACATTTTCCCTGAAGGAAGTGTTATTATGGACTTAATTTTGACCAGAAGTGACTGTTTAATGATGGATTTGTTTTTCAGAAACATGCTGCTTTTCACTTCACAAGACATCGTCGTGTGGAATATATATTAGCTGTTTGGACTCTCATTCTGACGGCACCCATTCACTGCAGAGAATCCATTGGTGAGCAAGTGATGTAAAGCTAAATTTCTCTGTTCCAATGAAGAAACAAACTCATCAACATCTTGGGCGGCCTGAGGGTCAGCACTCAGCAACTTTAACTTTTAACATCTAAAACAACATCACCGAATTAGTCGTGCAATTGTAAACCTATGTAGCACTATTAAAACTACTTGTTACACTATTGCATATTATTATTTTTTTTTACAATGCATTTTGCATTTAGTGTTGGGAAAAATTCAGCACAGCAAGTTCCTTGTAGCGCTCATAGCTATGGCATCACAAACTGATGTGGCCACAAGTTAAAGGGCCAGACCAAAAAATAATAATAATAATTCTAGGCCATACCATGAATATATATCATACAGGCCAAGGTGGTTCAAGCAGTGCTTTAAAAAAAATAGAAATAGCACCTTTAAGAGAAATATACCTGCAGTAAAAGAAAAGTTGGACCACATTGGCTGAGGTCATCTGTTACATTCAGTACGGTGGTAACATGAACCTTTCATTTTTCATCACTATTGAACTGGCACAGAGAACAGAGAGGCAAAGCAGACATGGGAATAGATATGGATAACGAAATAAAAGAAAGGAAGAGGAGTGAGAGACAAACAGGTGTCTGGAAGAGCGTTTGTGGACGAGAGTTAGATATGCTGCTCAACTCGTTATGTGTCTCAGGGCTAATTACTTATTATTACAGAGCATTAAGCAAACATTCAAATACAAAGTGCATGCATGCAAAGTTGAGTGAATATAAGCTGAACTATTACATTTACTTTTAAATACAAAAAATGAATATATATTTTATTAAAATAATAATAATAATATAAAATAAAAATATAAATTATATAAGTAAAATGCAATATGTAATTTGCCATTTCAAGCACAATTATAATATATTATAAAAAATACACCAACCCAAAAGTACAGACAACTATTGCAAACTTTAAGTTGATTGGGCTCACATATGAATAAGAAATGTTTTGTGTTTATTGTTATTTGCAGTAACAAGTAAGCTGCAGAAATCAGTCATAAATTAACTGTACACTTAATGGGACTCTCTGCCTGGAGAAACCGAGTGTTAAACCCATTTCAAGTGCATTGAACTTTATGCCAGTAACCCAGATTCTTGACTATTAGGCCGCGGCAGTCAATTGTCCAGTTTGCAAAGACTACGAATTACATCAATGAACCGTAATGACAAGCCTCTTGGACATAATCTTGTTGACAAGATTTCTGGCATAGATCCTCTGTCACTGTGCCACACAACATGATTTATCCCAGTGTGACAAGTTCCTGAGTCAACATCCTTAAGGACTGCCATTTGTTGCCTAACCCTACCCCTATAATCAGGGGGCAAAAATGGACTTAATTGGTTTGACTAATATTTTTACTAATATTGACACTTTTCTAATTAATATGTAATCGGTGCTTTAATTTTATACACCTTTGAAACAAATTTTACTCAGAAATGTAATTTTTAATCAGAAATAACAACAGTATTTGCTGGTAATCAGTGTTGGGCAAGTTACTTCCAAAATGTAATACATTATATATTACTAGTTACTGTCTTTTGAAAAACAACAACAATACAGTTTGTTTGTATTGTTGTATATAGGCTATAATGACAATTTAGTCATTCTGGTGTCAAAAAGTAGAAATAAAACAATTAAAAACAGATTGTCCCCAGAAAATAATAACCAAAATGATCAGAAAAAACAATATCAGTCTCAAATCTTATCTATGAACAAGAAATACATTATGTTCATTTTTTGCAGTTCAATATATATCCAGGGTTGGAAATTGGTCATAATCTGTTAACAGTAATAAGACTGCTTGTCTGGAGAAACTGAACTTTAAGCGCCATACAATGATTAAAACCTACAATAATGGTCATTAAAAACAATATCAGTCTCAAATCTCAAAATAACTTGACTGGATTGTTGTTCAAGGCCATAACCTTAAACCTGACCCTAAACTCTAATATCGGAGTAGGAGTGATGTTCTAGGACCAGCAGAGGATGTTGATAGGCTACAGCAAAATGTCATAATGTATATAAATTACGTTACATCATGTACTCAGACCCACTGACCCTGCATTAACACACAACTTTATGAATAGCTCATACGCCAGCAAAAACACTCAAAAATGTATGTAACGTTGACCAAACCCTCAAATCCATCACACCCGTATTCTCACAACTTCATCAACCCATAAAACACTCCTTAAGACGCATTAGACAGTGTGTGTGTGTGTGTGTGTGTGCGTGAGCAGGGAGCGTCTGTCTGTCACACTGAATCACATTCGCAGTTTGTCATCAGAACCAGTTCTTCCTGTAATATCAGACAACCGTAAACGTGTTGTGAAGCTCTTTTCCTAAACCTTTAACCCCAAATCCTGCAACACGTTTTCAAATGTTTCCAATTGCACTCGCAATGTACTTATGATATATAAAATGGCTCACCTGAGTTCCAGATGATCAACGCAGCAAGAATATATGAAACTGTCTTCATCGTCCACCAGTTCAGACTTTCAGCTGAGCCCAAGTTTTCAGTTTGGCGATCTCAATGCGATGGTCATTATTAATATATGAAAACTGTGTCCATCTCAAGAGTTAGTTGTCTTCCCAATCAATCCAATCGATCGCAGATGTCAGTCGGGAGATGTTGGAGATCAGGAGACTCCCATATATGAAGAGCAGGTGGTGGAGATCCAGCGCAGAAAAACGAAATCACTCTTCGTTCAGAATCAATATATCGATTAATTCATTTGAAGTACAAAAATGAAACAGAATGTTTATGGACTATATACATAAAAAGTGAACGTTTCTCCATGCGTAAATCCTCACGGGAGCGCACAAAAGTTTGACTCCAGTTTATGTTGTTTTCGTCTTATTTTAAGAGCTACGACATGTTGAGAAAAACCGAAGTATTTCCATTATTCTTCCGACGCTCGGGTTGAAATTGCTCTGAGAGAAGAACATTTCTTATAGACACCTGTTGGAGAAGGCAGCTCTCCATTGCGCAGTCGCGCACATGTTGTTACGCGCTCTGCTTTACTCAACTTTCCAGTTTTTAATCCGGGTGTTTCTTCCCAATCTGATGATTCAATCTAGACACTGGTTTAATATTCTGTAATTGCTTAATCGTTTGAGATCTGTAATGGTCGAGTTCACTTTAACAGTTTTTTTTTCTGCCATAATGTTTTTGTGGAAAACACAAAGGTTAGAGTAACTTGTGATTACCATTACCTCTGGATAAAATCAAAGAGACACTGAACGCTAAGAATTTTGTAAATTAATCTTGTTTGAATTTCTTTTCTCAAATTTAGAACGAATAAGTATGCCTATTAGGTTCAAACAAGATCTTTCAGAACATAGTTCACCACTTGACTCTGATTAACCTTAACAAGATCTTACATATCTTTTAAAATGTAAAGAAGTCCTACAGCCAACTTTGTGATTTGCTTAAACTGTCCAGTAACCAGACATCATTCCAATAAAAGTGGTGTTCTTTTAAAGATTTCCCAATATCCAATAAGATTCTGCTGGATAAACTAGCCACAAAACAGCGTATCTGATTAATTTTCGCAAGTGTGTTGACATAATTAGCATGTGTATGAAAGCTACATGAATCTACCAGACTTACTGTATCTGGTTGCATTCTTGGCCTAAAGGAAAAGGAGCACCAAAAACCGTAAACCTGTTCTCCCTCCTGAAAACAGTTAAAGCCTCGGGCACTTTTACCGAGTTCAACGGAATAGTGTTCCAAACAAGGGGTTTCAGCTGAAAAAGACAGTTATTCATGATGAGGAAAGCTTCTCTGTGATTAGCATTTCTGTTTATAAACCTATGATGCTTTTAATGTCCCCAAAATGTTATTAATGTTTGGTCTTTAATACTAATAAAATCAGTCTGTGATGCTGTGCTAATATCGTGAAACTCTCATAACAATTAAGAACTTTGAAACACTAAAATATTTAAAGGGAAGAAAAAAATCCTTTGAAAAATGAATCAATAATTATGAAAATATTTACAGAGATAAAATTGAACGGAATCAAGAATAGTAAGAGACATTTCTATTAAACCTATGGCTTTAAATTTTTTCTTTTCATTTAATCAAACTAATATTTGACTTTTTTATGAAATCGCGTGTAGGTGTATAGTGACATCTAGGGGACTATTTGAATATTTTTCAAATACAATGTTAAACTTCAAAAACAGAAACGTTTACACACTTTTACAATAATCAGTATTTGAACATTGAACTCTATGTTAAAGTCTTCTATATTTAGGTCTATTAGCTGATATAATATATAATTTTTCTTTTTTTTGATGCAGATTATTAGATTACTAACAATAGGTAAAATACAATATGTATGTAGACCATCACTACATTCATATGCATTAAGATCTAAAGTAAGATCTAAATGTCTGAGACTGAAAAGGAAAGTTCCTCATCAAATTTGCTTAAAAAAAACCTCAGCATCTCAAACGCTCAAGTGATATTCCATTAACCTGAAAATAAAACACGACTGCAACAAACTACAAAACTACTTAAGATCAAGATTTGTCTTGTTTTCTCTCTTACTGGAATCTGAGTTTTATGTACCTCCATTTTGCTCTCTGATTGGTCTTTTGTGTCTTTTTCTTTTCTGAGATTGGATGGCTAACATCTGAGTCTTGCCGTGTCCGAGCTTGTTCTCTTGGCCCACAAGAACAAATCCCACTGTGGCAGAACAGCAAAAACAGCTAATACGCAGAGTCTGTTTCTTAGTTAGTCCAAAGAAAAAGAAAAACATTACTTAGACATTTAAAAAAAAAAAATACAGTTCAGTACAGGACTGAGATTTAACAAAGAATGTACCAAATATACACTTTAGTCATCAGTATAAATTTACAGGATAAAAATATGAGCAGATCAAATATTATACGTTTACAATGAACAAAAAGCTCATTGTTATAAAATAAGAAGTTTTGTAATTGTTTGTTTTTTCATAAAATCTATACATTATTGTTTGTTGTTTATTTTTATAGGGAAAAGGCTATAAAAAAAAAGGGGGGGCAATTTCTCATTTATTATTATTATTTTTTTTGTCATGAAATTTGTTTTAACAAAAACACCTTCAAGTCCAAACCTTTGCATGAAGCATCTCAAATCTGAAACTGAGATATTTAAATAAATAAAAAAAAAACATCAGAAAAAAAAAAAGTAAAATGTCCAAAACCATTAAACATCTTAAATGTTACATATCTCTAAGCTGTGTTTCGCTCGTTGGAATCTGACTGCTTTAGCACAGGTTTGTGTTCTTCCTGTTTGCTTTCTGATTGGTCCCTTGAGTCCGTTCTCTTTTCTGCGATTGGCTGTTCTTTGTCTGAGTCTTCATCAGAGTCTTCCTCATCATTGCCCTCTCCGAGCTTGTTCTCCTGGCCTACTGGCACAGCTCCCTTCCTCTGTGGCAGAACGGTAAAGAAAGCTTCCTGCCAGTCTCGTTTCTCCAGGAATGCTAGGATGATTTCAAAAACTGTGGCAAGGGGGGAAATGATTGGTTCATTTCCACTAGGAAACTTAAAAGTAGTATATGATAGAGGAAGTGTCATTTGAATGGATATCTAGAGAGAGGGAATCTCACCGTGATTGACGGCCAGCACCTTGCGGCTATTCATCTGGACGAAACTGCCCAGCGGAAGCTGAGCATGAGCAATGCCAAGCTCTTGGGCTCGACCAAATGTGATTCCCTGTAATAAAGCATTTAAATTCCCCAAAACCAAAAGCTTAGGTGAAGCTTTTAATGACCTCAACAACAAAAAACTTATGGCAAGTGTCACTGTATATTAATCTCAAAATAAAATCTTTATCTCCTTGCAAGCAGGGCATGCAAGTTTGGTAGTTTCGTTAGATACAACATCATGATTCGAACGTAAATATTATGCTGACCTTTTACCGACCTACACTTTCAGGAAAAAAAGGTACAAAGCTGTCACTGAGGCAGTAGCATAAGGTACAAAAGGTACACCTTTGTACCTTATTTACCCCTAAAAAAATACATATTAAAGGGGTCATATGATGCGATTTCAATTTTTCCTTTCTCTTTGGAGTGTTACAAGCTCTTGGTGCATAAAGAAGATCTGTAAAGTTGCAAAGACTAAAGTCTCAAATCCAAAGAGATATTCTTTATAAAAGTTAAGAGTCAACCACGCCTACCTAAAACGGCTCGTTCTAACACACCCCACATACCTACGTCACTATCTGGGAAGAGTTGCATAACGCCGCCCAAATAGTGACGTAGGTATGTGGGGGCGTGTTAGAACGAAAATAATGTTCTTTTTAGCAACATCATATGACCCCTTTAATACCTTTTGAAAGGGTTTTTCCCAGTAACAGTTTAGGGTAGTTCTATTAAGTCACTCACCTTATGGTGGTTGTGGTCCACCAGACCTCCAATCACATAGGCTTTGGCCTCATCGAGTTCTTGTAGCACATTGGGTGAATCAGAGGTGAGGTAGACTAGGTCCTCCTTCTTCATGATTTCATGAAACGCATCAGGCTTGAAATGGACATCCTACACCACATTGAAATTTAGATGAGATGCTTTAAAGGCATCGCTTTCCATTATCCAACATCCATAGCTCAAATATACTAATTCTTTTGCTGCAAACTTTGATTCATGATTTGTGCAGAAGAACTAAAGAGTTTTCTTGTGTGGATGATGGATGGGACTCAACAATGTACAAAACATTGTCAACACAAAAGCATACGAGGAGCATTGAATTATACGTTTATTATAAATCCATGTAAATCCTTGAAAACGCCAGTTGCAGATATGCATTTTGTACACACAAGCCAAAAATATACAGTACGATTCATTTATTAAAAAAAAAAAGGTTGATTTTATCAATTTTTCACAACAGCAAATCACATTTACTGTCAAGTGACATTAAAAACGTGAACAAAATGATAAATATTTGTAAGATTTCTTATTGGTAGTGTCATTCATTTCCCATCTTACCTTCCAGTTGACCCAGCCTTTGTTTATTTCGTCCATGACTTGCTTTAACTGACCACCTTGACTTGTAAGGTAAAACTGAGAATGTGAAACGGCAGTGTTAACTGAACGCTCACCTACTTTTGATCTTAAAGATCACATTTTTATTATATCTATTTGAAGGAAACACTTGCCTGTACAGGATGCAATGTGCGTCTGTTCTCAGCATAGCACCTTTGAATCTGCTTGTGAAGTTTCTTTACATCCTACATATTATGAAAACAATGTTAGCTTGATTAAATTTAGAGATTGATGAACTTTAAAGATGTAATTTTGTGCTTTTGTGAGTCATACATTTGATTCTGTAAACAATGCGATGCTTCATACAAATTTATTAAACTGATGACTTTTACTGAAGTTGATGTTATTATAATGGCAATTAAAAAGCACTGGGCTTTGTCTTACCTTGAGCACCATGAGGTTATCAAAGCTGCAGTCTATGACCAGTCTGAGAGAGCTGGGCTCTGCTGACCTGCGCAAACGCTTCTTTCCTGTCCACTCCACTCCGTCTTCAGCCTGCGCTTGTCTCTCCAGTTTCCTCTGCTGTTTTCTCTCTTTCCGCTTCTGTCTTTACATAAACAAGTGAGAATTAAAGCACATACTAAATAAAAGACTATCAGCAGGAACTGCTTGACCATGTAATAACAGAGAAAAGTTTTACCATGCATTTCATCATTTTGAATGCTTACTTGCAGTGTAATTTTTGGTGTCTAAAACTTTATACATTTTTAATCAAATATTATTGAAACAAAGCTAGAACAAAACCAAAAAATATTACATGAAAAACTTAGTTTTTTTTCTTCCAACAATGTTGCTTTGATAAATAACTGACATAAAATGACAAACTGAAATAAAAATGAATCAAAACTACATAAAAAAATATTACAAAAAATCAGAAAAATGACAAAGGCACATAACCAAAACTAAAATTAAAACGTAAAATATACAAATAAAAGCTCAT